AAGGACAACCTGGAGAAAGATTATGCATACTGGAAGCATGTCCTTTGGTCAGATGAGATAAATATAGATGAAAATAGAGCTCTTTGGCCATAGAGACATTGCTTATGTTTGGAGAAAGAAGGGAGAGGCGTATAACCCAAAGAACACCGTCCCCACAGTGAAACACGGTGGTGGGAGTATTATGCTGTGGGGATGCTTCAGTGCATCTGGAACTGGGAATCTCGTCAATCATGAAGTAAGAAGGATATGTGAAGATTTTGAAAGAAAAAGGTTACAGAGTTGAGTATTAGCATCAGGGGCTTATCATTTTGACCCTGGTAGTTTTAGTTTTTTGTGAAATAATTTTGTTTCTGGGTGCTAAGTAAAATAATGTAAGCATCCAAAATAAAACTAGGATGTTTTGAAAAAGCTGTTAAAAATTCTTTGCTCTGTTTAATAGCATTTGGGAAATACTTTCAAAAAAAGGTGAGGGGGTTGAATATTTCTGATTGCAACTGTATTAGTAAATTATCAGTTGATAATGGCAAATTTATATTATTATGTATTATTTAGTTAATTAAATTATAGCTGATAAATGATCAGTTGAGAATAATAATAATTTTAAATTCTTATGCAAAACATTTGATAGGAGCTATGTCCTATAAAAGTTGTCAGTTACTATGAAAACAAACAGAGCTATGGAAACACAAATCATCCATCTTTGCTCACTACATCCTTTCTTACCCTCGGCTGTGTATAAACTATAGTTTATGAACTTCAATTTAAAATACAAAAATGTGAAATGATCAGTTATCTTATTAGTATCGGCCATGAGAAGGAGCTAATTATCGGTTATTGTATCAGCTGAAAAAAAAAATCCATATCGAGCATCTGTAATTATAATATTTAGATAAATATACAAAGCACAGTATTTGCCCCTGAAATGTGTTGAAAAACAAGTACCAAAAAGTTAAATACAATAACTCAGAATTGTACTCAAGTATACTATTTGAGTAAATGTTTTTCAGTGTTGCATTCCACTACTGGATTATATTTACATAAGCTGAAGAGTGGAAATACACTATTTCATGAGCTATGGTAACAAATATGCTGCAATATTTTGAATGGGGTTTGACATAGCCAGGCACATCCAGCATTATCCAGTGTTTCATCACATCCTGGCCATCCTAACCTCTCACGACTCACTGTAATCTCTCCTCTTCGTCCCACAGGAGGACGACGACATCGAGGAAGGCGACCTCCCCGAGCACAAGAGGTCTCCTCCTCCCATCGATTTCTCCAAGGTAGACCCCTCCAAGCCGGAGGAGCTGCTGAAGATGTCCAAGAAGGGCAGGACTCTGATGGTCTTTGCGACGGTGTCGGGGGATCCCACTGAGAAAGAGACGGAGGAGCTCACGGGCCTGTGGCAGGGTAGCCTCTTCAACGCCAACTTCGATATTCAGAGGTATTTACTCACTAAACTCATTTCACATGCTGCAGGGTTGTATAGTGAAATACAGGTCCTATTTCTCTTTATGCTATGCATAAAAACAAAAAATCTACGTACAAAAGTGAGTAACAGTAAAACTGTACAGATAAATATCAACTATTTTTCATGTGCTGAGGATAAATAAAGCAAGTAGGGTTACTTCTTATCAACTCGGCCTTCAGTCACTGGTTGTGGAAGTTTCTGTCCAATACTTCAAATCATTTTAACACTGTGATAAACCATTAGTAATAAAGTTGGTAGAACAAAGCCTGGTAAA